GGCGGCCACTGCGTTCCACTCCTCGGCGCCGCCCCGCTGGCCTCGGGCTATCCTGGCTTCGTGGGTGCCCAGCGCACACGGGGTGCCCTTGTGGCCTGCCCGAGTTGCACGTGCCTCCTCGCTGCACCGTTGGGGCCGCCTGCCTGGACGGCTGGCCGGTCGGCCTCCCAGGGCTCCGCGGCACGCCCTGCACCTGGGCTTCCCCACTACTGTGGCCCGGTTTTCTCTGACGGCTTGTGCACGCCCACCACCACTGCAGCCGGGCGCACTCTGCCGCAGCAGTGCTGTCTTCGACACCCTGCTTTCGCAGGGCTGGCACTCGGTGACACTCTGGCTCTTCGTAGAGCTGCCCGCCTGGCCCAGACCTCGGGCGCGTCTCGTGGTGCTCCTCGAGGTACCCACCTGGCCCAGCAGCTGGTCGGCCTGCCTGGCCTGTTTGACCGTTGGTCCCAGTGCACCGCCCGGTGGTGTCGTCCTCCTCCCCTGCTTTCGCCTTCCCGAGTCGCTCCTCTGCCCTTCCTTCTGCTCATCCCTCGGGCCGTCGCCCGGGTCTCGGGCTGTCTTTCGGGTCGTCCTCCCAGCCGGGGGTCTCCATCTCTCCCCCGGCTCTGGGTCCGTCCTCGTCCCTGAGTGTTACGGCCCTCCTCTGCCCCCTGCTGCCGTTGTGCTGCTCCTCCGGGTCGACCGCCTGGGTGCCGGCGCAGTCGCGTGCATGGGCTCGACACCATCCACATGCATTGGCTCCAGACCCTTTTGTTTCCTGCACTCAGCAACCTTATTACGTCCTGGACACCCACCGTCAGACGCTCGGTGTCAATCAACCTCAGGCGTGCCCCGCCTGATCACTCGCTGCGTTGGATCAAACTGCGGGGAAACAAGACAAAGGTTTATGCATATGTTATCCCGCGTGGCTCCCAACCAGTGGTTTCTAGCAAACTGTGCGGTGCAACCTAGGTGGTGCAATCAACGTGATGCAAACTAGGCTGTGCAAGCCATGCGATGCAGTCTGTGGCGCAAAACAATACAAACCAATGCCGAGCAATGCGAAGCAATGCAACACAGTACAAAGCGATGCAACACAATGCAAAGCAATGTAAGACACTGCAAAAAGAAATGCAAAGACATGCACAGACATTCACAGAAATGCAAAGTATTGCAAACCAGTGCAAAGTAGCGCAAATCATGGCAAAGCATTGCAACGCAATGCCCTACACTGCAAATCAATGCAAAGCAATGCAAAGCAAAGCAATGGAAGGCACCGCAATGCGGTCGCAAAGCAACGCAAAGGAATGCGACATCTATGCAAAGCAACGCAAGGCAACATCATGCGATGCAAAGCAGAGCACAGCAACTCCATGCGATTGCAATGCAATGCGCAGCAATGCAAAGCAACAGGCGGCGACGGGCGGCATGGGGCCCAGAGGCGACGGCGGTGACGGGCGGCGACGGACGGCGACGAGCCAGCCGGACCAGCACCCTGGCTCTGTGTCCTCAGACGGCAAGGACGAGCCCCTACCTGCAAGCACTGTTTGACGACTCTATAGGTACATACAGGTTTCGGGCCGAACGAAAGGGGGGGATAGGGAAAGGGGGAGGTACGAAGTCTGCTGCATGCAGCTGGTTTCGGCCCCGCCGCCGGGCCCATTCCTCGATACATGGGCGCCTCCCGGCGCCGGGGAAAGCAGCTACGTGAGCTGATTCGCACCCCCCCCCCCTTCGCTATCCCCCCCTTTCGCCCGGCCCGGAAGTTCCCTCTGCCATGCTTCTGCAATCTCGGACCCTGCGACCGAGCCGGAGCCCCCGGATCCCTGGCCCCATATGGGGGCTCCGGACGCCCCTGCAGCAGGTCCCCCCGGGGCTTTTGGGGAGCTCTCGGAGGCCCCCGCCAGGCCCAGGCAGCGGCGCAGGTCGGTCAGGAGGGCGGCCGAGCGGAGAGGAGATCGAGCTGCAGGCAAAGCATGATTTGGCACGATTTGATTTGGCAAGACTTTCCACTTTGATTTGGCATGATCTGGCATGAGTTGATTTGGCAAGATTTGGCAAGATGCTTTCCATTCTTTCTTGGTCTGTGCTGCGGTCTTCCGAGCGTCCGGGACCGCCGCGGGAGGTCCGGAGGTCGTGCCGAAGCTGGCCGAGAGGGCCCCCGGGCAGTCCAAGAGGTCCCCCAAATGGCCCAACAGCTAGGAGGCAACTGCTGGGAGGTCTTCGTCGGAAGGATTAAAGAGGATTGAGTCCCATCGGGGGGGCTGCTGCGCCGAATCAGGCCGCGGATTAGGTGGGATCGAGCCGGATCAAGCGGGATTAAGCCGGATTCAGCGAGTCGAATCAAATTGCATCAAGCTGGATTAAGTCGGACTTCGGACCAGGGAAAAATCAGCATTTGACCCGCCAGGAGTTGCATCCAAACAACAGAGCCCCAAGATGGCCCGAAGAGAGCCCCATGACGGCCCAGCATGGCCCCAAGACGCCCCCATGAAGCATTCCGAATCGCGACCTGGTCGTTCAGGGAGACCGCAATTGGACGCAGGGTGGCCCGAGGAAGCCCCCAGAGGCCCCCAAAGGCACCCAGGAAGCGGGGAGAAATTCGGAGGGAAGGGCGAAAATGAGAAAGAGGAATAGGAAGCAAAAGGGAATGATAACGAATGGCATTCTCATGATAACCATGTCGGACAAGGCAACGAGAAGTTATCGCTATTTGTTCTGCTCTACTTTACTGCCCTTCCGCCGCGACTTCCGCCTGCATACCAAACTTCAAGGACCAGCAGATATGTGCACAGGTGGCACGTGCGTGCCTAGGCTCGTGCAACAAACAATTTGGGGTCACCGATGGGGTTGCTACTGCTTGCGATTAGTGTTGGGAAGCACCTCCGTGGGCATGAAATGAAAACCAACACAAATACTAAGGCAACGTTGGATAACTACACGAGGAACCACGCGAAACTTCTGCTTCTCTCACAGCTATGCGCAACTTATGTGAATCCCATTGTGCTGTTGTAAGCTTTCTTGTGCAATGCTCGAGACCTGGCCAGGGCACTATTGAACAACGGGTGTTTTTTCTACCAAGCATGTGCAAACGCATTGAATTCCATCGGTTTGTTGTAGGCTACATGCCGTTAAAGCCCCATTGTGGCTTTGGACCCTGACGTCGCAATCTGCGTGAGGAGTGCGTCCGGATGTTGAGGATGTCCTGAGCGAAACGGCTAGAACAAGTATGGGTGGCGACAACTATCTCCTCTGAGCTCTACTTCCTCGGATAAATACGACTGACAACATACATACATACATACATACATGCATGCATGCATACAAACATACATACATACGTACATACATGCATACATAAATACATGCAGCCATACACACACATGCACACATATACATACATACATACATCCGTCCATCCATCCATCCATACATACATACATACATACATACATGCACACACACATACATACATACACACATACATACCTACATACATACATGCATGCATGCATACATACATACATAAATATATACATACATACATACATGCATGTATACACACATACATTGATACATACATCAATACACACATACATACATATATACATACATACATACATACATACATTCATACATGCATACATACATACCAACATACATATACACATACACACACATACACACATACATACATACACACATATACATACATACATACATACATACATACATACATACATACATACATACATACATACATACATACATGCATACATGCATACATGCATGCATGCATGCATGCATGCATGCATGCATGCATGCATGCATGCATGCATACATACATACATACATACATACATACATACATATACATACATACAAACATACATCCATACATACATACATACATACATACATGTTTATGTGTGCACTGGCATGTACATACGCCAGTCAGTATGTCCTATATTCTCTCTGACCTGGTCTCTCGTGCTGTGGCAGTCCGTCACAAACGCGATTTTTTTTTTTGCGCGAATTGACGTGGCAGCACCAACCCGTCTGCCCGTACCAGGCTGTAAACCAATTGTGAATGATTCGCCTCGTAGACACGCTGGCCTGACGCCAGTCTGCCCACTCGGGCTGCAAGCCCACCCAAGCGCAGAGACTGGGACGGAGAGGAGCAAGGAGAAACCGTCGCCTTCTCCTGCTCCCCCAGCACCACCACCCCTCCTTCTCGCCCTTATAGTCAACACCCTTGCTTCCCCCCGTCCATCCTTCATCCCGCTGCCCAACTGTGAAAAGACCAGCCACCTCGCCTTGACACTGCGCGGAGTGCCCCAATGCTTGCACAGGTGTGAGTAGCAGAGGAACCGAGAAGCCCAGGCCCCGGATTTGCCGAAGTCCTGGGTGTTCCCAGGCGCTCCGAGGCCCAAACTTGACACGCCCATGCCTACGTGTGACCATGCTTCGTCTTAGGAGGTGCACTGGGCCAGGCACTTCGAACCTCACCCGCCCTGGACGATCCGAGGACACCCCGAGAGACATCCCAAGGACTCAAGAGGTGCCGAGAAACACCCACGAGGCCCCAAAGAGGCGCATCCAAGAGACGCCAGGCCTCCGGGAAGCCCCCAAAAGCCAACGTGGTTCGGTGGGCCGCAGTCAGCTGGGTATTGATGTTAGCGTGGCCCCTCGAGGGGGGGGTGGCGGATGCGGGCAGCAGCTCTTGCAGCTACGGCGGGGCGTGGCCTGGGGAGTGGCAGTCGCGCCTTAGAGGTAGGAGGCTTCGGATGAAGGGTCAAGGTGTGACCTGGGTGAAGCTAGAGAGCGCGTAGGAGAAAGAGCTAGCGCCTGAAAAAGAGGCCTCTCATAATTATAACTTTACAATAAGTCCTGTGGTGGACTAGGCTGTTTTCTCTGGTGGGGCAGGCGTCACCGCCAATCCAGAGATAAACCGATTAAGTGAAGAGCCATGGTAGGTTCACGATGGGCGTAGCACTCTGCAGCACAGCATCACCTGACTAGTCGGAGTCCGAATTGTTGCCGTCGCCCTGCTCAACACCACACAGACCAACTGCGACGCCGGTGCAGTCGTCGAGTGCCTGCGCGTCCTGAGCGATCACGCAGCACGGGAAGAGACAGGAACAGATCACTGCCATCGGGATCGATCTCTTCTCTCCCCCGAGCTTCTCGTTCAAGTCAGTGCATGCGTTCATGTAAAGGAGTGTACAACAAGGGAAGAAGGCACTGAGGCAGAGGCCCGGCCAATAGGGCAGCAATCCGACCTTGTCGTAGGTGTGCGCAGCACGGCCAGCCGAGCAACAGCAAGAGGTAAGGTTGATCACGAACGAGTTCTCGCAAGTGAAGAACGCCATGAGCTCGTTCTTGCTCTGGGTTTCTTTGGCTTTCTCGGTGGGGCCCCCTTAGAGACAGGCGCACCTGTACAAACATAAACCTTTGGAGGTCCGCGCGGATTTCTTGGGTCGGCGATGGCCCCCCTGGCGCTCCCCTGGCGCCGCCCCAGATGCGCTACGCACGCCAGGGAGAAGATCCAACGCCGATCCAGGAACTCCGCGCAGACCTCTGACAGTTCATGGTCATGCAGATTGTTTCTGTCTCAGATCCCTGGAGCTCGGGGTAGTTCTTGACGATGACGCAGAAGTAGATGGCGCCGTAGATAAGTTGCCAGACCGCATGGGCGAGGGAGCTGAGCGAGTTGCGCTCTCGAATCTGGGTGGTGCCGCTGTCGCCGCTGCCTGCACGGCCGCAACAGGGTCACAGGTGCGTGGGCCAAGAACAGCAGCCTCTTCGCCGAAGGCGCAAGGCCACACTGAGATGCCCAAAACGATGGACAACCCAAGTCGGGGATGGACAGAACCCCCTTTAGTAAAACGTGGTTTAGTGAAAACGACCTGAGGCCCAAACCTGGCGGGCGCAAGCCTGGAAAATAACGGCCGCGGCGCCATCTCGAGAACCGAAAACGGACAATTCACTAATCGACGTGTCACTGTTGGGGGTTCTGTCCGCCCCCGACCAAGGTTGAAAACCCAAGCACGAAGAACACGAGGGTTCCACTCCAGAGCTGAGGCTGCTCTTGGCCCTCCTGCCACCTGTAAGCCGGCGGACCCCACGGAGCGCCGCGCTGTCGCCCCCGCCGGCGCCCGCCGCCTGTGAGTCGGGGAGTCCCCCATACGCTCTGAGGCCCTCGTCTTATCGTCGTCGTCGTCCAACTTCTGCTCCGTCTCCTCTTCTTCCTCCTCCTCCTCCTCCTCCTCCTCCTCCTCTCCATCCTCTTCATCCTCCTCCTCCTCCTCTCCAACATTGACCTCCCCCACTTACTCCTCCTCCTCCTCCTCCTCCTCCTCCTCCTCTGCCTCCGCCCCTCTCATCATCATCCTCTACTCCTCCTGCACCTTCTCCTTCTCCCCCACTTCCTCATCCTCCTCCTCTTTCTCCTCCTACTCCTCCTCCCCCCTGCGCCTCGTCTTCCTCTCCCTCCTCCTTCTGCATGTCCTTCTCTGCCTTCACGAGCTACCGACGTGCCATTAGACGGCGAATCTAAGCTGCAAGTCAGGGCAGTCGAACTGAGCTGAGTGTGAGAAAGGCAAGCTCACCGTTGGTGTAGTTATCGCTGACAGGTGCTCGGGGCACCACTCCACACTGGTGATCCCCCAAACGCGTAGAATCCTGACACGCTAGCACTAACAATCGGGCGCAGTACAGGCTATGTAGCATGCTCAGGCTTGAACAAAAAGGACAAGTGTGGACCTGGAAGTCTCATATAGCGTTTCCCCCGAAACGCGATCGCTCGCAACAGAGCAACGCGTATCTCGTAACGCTGGCGCTTGAGCCCAGGTGGGCAGGACACAGCCGCTCAAAGAGTACGGGCTAAGGAGATTCTGAATGTCTGACGGCTGCGGATCTCCTGGCATCGATCGTTGCGAAAAGGACCCCCTGGCGTCGACCGCGACGTTCCTGAGGAGAGCTCGAGCGAGGAGCGAAGAGGCCCTCGCCCCCGCTGCGTGCCCGCGGCCCTCGCTTTTCTCGGCCCGGCCCCGGAGAGAAGGACAAAGGCGGCAGGGAGAGGCGGGGGCAAGGGGGAACGCTCTTTCCTGTCGGCGAGGCGAGGCGGCGGCGGTCCGCACCAGCGGGTGGCGATCCGGGGCAACCGAGCAGCGGATTGGCCCGCGTGCAAGGGGGGGGAAGCGAGACAGACCAGGCGGCCGCAAAGGCAGGGAGGAGGCGGAAGGCACTCCGACGTGGAACACTTCCGCCCCGAGCGTGCTGGCGCGGCCAGCAGCGGCAGCGGGGACCGTGGCAGCAACAGCCGGGCCGCGGCAGCGGCGCATCCACGCAAGGGGGGGCACACGCAACACGAGTCATCTAGGCCGGATGTTTGCGCGAGAGGAGAAGGGGGAGGAGGAGGAGGAGGAGGAGGAGGAGGAGGAGGAGGAGGAGGAGGAGGAGGAGAAGAAGGAAAAGGAGGAGGAAAAGGAGGAGGGAGCCACCTGACTTCGCGCATCGCGCCCCGCGATGCGCGACGCGCGGTCACCATCGCGCCCTCGCGAGGCCCCGCTGGAGAAGGGCAGCGCTCTGGCCTACACTGGCGCGCGAGGCGCGATCATGTTCGCGCCCCGGGGGCGACCTGGGATTCTGTGCAGCTCGGTCCCTACTTCTGGAGTTAAGCACGACAACAAGCAGATCATGGCCAGTGAGCATCGTTGAAGCGATCACTATCCCTACTGGCGTGGCCTGGGCCCCACTGTCCAATTAACCCCCTAATTGGGGATACAGGCTGCCCCCTTCGGGTTTCGAGGGGCATACATTCAACTGGGGTGGTGGGATGGTGGGGACGAGATATAATGGCCTGGTGGGGATGAGGATCGGTGAAACGATACTGAGCCAGGGCTGCAAACAGGGACCGGCGGCGCTGCCGGCGCTGAGGCGAGAGCGCGGCGCTGGGCTAGGAATCCGCTGCAGAGCGGGGAAGGGGCAGGGCAGAAGCGCTCCCGAACGTCTGGCTTCACTCAGGCTCCGACAGCGCAGGGGGGAAGTGACTGCCCACCTTCCGAACCTCCTCCCCCTGAGAGACTGAGAAGACGACGCTACGCATCACCCCGCAGTTGCGGATGAGAGGGGGCGGGCGCGGAGTGGGTCGCGGGTGGGTGGCACGGTGGGTCGCTGGGTGGGACGCTGGGTGGGTCGCGGACGAGGACGGCGGCAACAACAACAACAACGAACAGCAGCAAACGAACAACAACCAACGACACAAATCAACAAACAACAAACATACAACAACCAAGAACAACAAACAACACGCAACAAACAACAGCGGGAAGTAACCAGCAGCCAGCAGCACACAACAGCAACGACAACACCACCAACAACAATACTGGCAACAACACCAACAACATCAGCAACACTAACAACAACAATATCAACACCCACAACAACAACAACAACAGCAACACAATACCAACAACACCAACAACAGTTTTAAGACTGTTCGCTCTTGTTGGCACGCGTGTCTTGCATTCTGTATATCCCAACCCTCGATACCCGCCCACTTCGTCTTCGATTGCACCCCCTTTCGGGGAGAATATCTTCCTTGTCTTGTCGGTCACTTACTGAAGTGCGAGGAACTCTCGAGCGAGAACGCCGTTCCTGAGTTCAGGGGCCTCTCTGGCCAGGGGCTCTCGGAATACAGATGGAGAAATATCGAACGGGAACCCTTGTCGCCATGTCTGGGTCTCCACCAACTTGCCTGCATTACGAGAAAGTCTCGAACGAGAGCGCCACTCTTGAGTTCGGGGGCCTCTCTGGCAAGGGCCTGTGCAAATACATCTTGAGGAAGTATCGAACGAGAGCCCTTGTCGTCGTAGTTGGGCCTCCACCAATTTGACTGAATCGCGAGAAAGTCTCGAGCGAGAGCGCCGTTCCTGAGTTCGGGGGCCTTCCTTGCCAGGGGCTCTCGGAGTAGATCGTGAGGAGGTATCGAACGAGAGCCATTGTCGTTGTGGCTGGGCCGCCGCCAACTTGACTGAATTGCGAGGAAGTCTCGAGCGAGAGCGCCGTTCCGGAGTTCGGGGGCCTCTCTAGCCAGGGTGTCTCGGGGTAAATTGTGAGGAAGTATCGAGCGGGAGCCGTTGTCGTTGTAAACAGGCCTCCAAGGGTACACACTTACACTCAAACCGACGCTCGCGCGGGAACCTCGTTTTCGGAGAAGATATAGCTGGCGTCGAGGCGAGAGCGCGCGGAAGCGCTCCCGCAGATCAGCAATAATTAATTGCTAGGAAAGAATATTGAACAGTAGCAACAACAACACCACAAGCAACAACAACAACATATACACTACCACAAGCAACAACAACGACCACAATCACAACGACAACAACAGCCACAACAACGAACAGCAACAAACAAACAACAATCAACAGCCAACAACAGACAACACACAACAACCATCGGCACACAGCTACCAGCAACCAGCAACACACACCACCACCACCACCAACAACAACAACAGCAACAGCAGCAGCAACAACAACAACACCAACACCAACAGCAACAACAACAACGACGACGACGACCACAACAACAACAACAACAACAACAACAACAGCAGCAACAACACCAACAACAACACCAGCACCAACAACACCAACACCACCAACAACAACCAAACCAACAACAACAACAACAACAACAACACCACCACCACCACCAACAACAACAACAACAACACTAAGTTTAAGACTGTTCGCCCTTATATGCTCGAGTGTCCAATAACGCGTATTTCCCAAACCCTCGATACCCGCCCTCTTCGTCTTCGATCGAACCCCATTTGGGGGGTATGCCTTTCTTCCCTGCAGGCCGGGCCCTGGCAAGCGGCGGGGCGGCCGCGGACCGTCGGCCTGGCCAGCGGCAGCGCTGATCGACGGGGCGGCCGCGGACCGTCGACCCGACCCCAAGAGGGACAGACAGGGGACCGACCATCACGAAGAAGACGACGACGACGACAACGTCGAAGACGACGGCGACGACGACGACGACGGCGACGACGAGCGAAAGCGAGAGCGAGAGAGAACGACAGCAGGGCCACGAAGGGCACGAAGTAGGCCACGAAGGGCGACAGCGGGGACACGAAGGGAATGCGTATGGGGCCACGAAGAGCGCGAGCGAGCGGGGGCCACGAAGTGCAGATAATGCGGGGCCACAGAAGGCAACTAGTGGGCCACTGAGGGTAACAACTGGGCCACGTAGGACAGTGAGGGGGACACAAATGGCGACAGCGGGGCCACGAAGGGCATGCACATGGGGCCACAACGGGCGCGACTCCTGGGTGCCTGGGTGTCGGGAGCGCGGCAACACGTAA